GGTTCAAATATAAGACCAGGTGGCCCCATTTCTTTTGGTCTCTTATGAGGATGGTGAATGGCAATGGCCAGTGCTTGGTAGAGTGAGTCACATCTTGAGCCAGGAAGCAGAGATAAAAAAGAGATAGCACAAGGTCCCACATCTTCTTGGAGGACTCACTCCATTGACCTAAGGACTTCTTACTAGGCCCAACCTTTAAAAGGTCCTTAACACTGCTTAATATTGTCATTCTGGGGACCAAGCTGTATAAATGGACCTTTGGGGAACACACAAATCACAGCACTGTTATATGGAGGCACTTGATCAGAAAGGAAGAGGTGGGGGTTATATATAGAAGGTGGCCACATTCATGGAAGATGTTCTGCTGCTTCATGGCCTCAGAAGTGATCCTGGTCTTAAACTGTTGCCTCCTCCAGGGGGTTGTAATGGCCACAGGTAGGAAGGCTACCAACCCCTTGGGGGTAGAGAAACCATCAGTCAGTGGAATATGCTACAGAAAATTAATTTAATTATAATTATTGTTTTTATTTACAATGGAGGAAATATGCTAAAGAGTATATACCTTGAAAGTAGGAGAGTCAGGACTGAAACTCAGATCTTCTGACCACAAATGTGCTTCTTCCTTCCAAGGTGCCTTGGACACTGTTCATGGCATTGGGAACCGGTACCATCTTTCTATGAGGCTCAGCATGAGAGACCATCCCTCAAGTCAGATCAGTAGTGTAACAGCCCTGGAGGCACCTCAGACTCCTTTCCATGGCACCCCTGCCATGCCCTGTTCACACATGAATTCTCCTCCTTTTCAGCTCCACCCTTTTCTCCTCTTCCATCATATATTTTTGTATTTATGATGACATCATCATGGAACAATCTAGTTGAAAAACTTTTGATATCACAGAAGATCATAAGACAATAGGATAGCACATCTTTTCCTCTTACCCCCATCACAGCCCCATGCTTTGACCCAGCCATGAGAGGACAGGGATGTCACCTGCTCTGTTCCTGGTGAGGTCCCCTTCATCAGCATAGACATGAAATAGGGTGCACATTTGCAGAGGGCACAAACACACCCTCTGCACATATATCTATGATGGTGTGTGTGTGTGTGTGTTTACTTAAACAGAATCACACAGTGTACTGTACTGCAAGTTCCTTTATGTTTTGCATAATATGTTTGAGGATCTTTCCTTGACTCAGTGGTGACCTACTTCTTTTGAACTGCTAAATAACACTCCTGCATGGTGGGGCACTTCCATTCCTCCCGTTTCTCACTATTTCCAGCACTGCTGCTGGCAGCCTCCTTGTACAGGTGTCTTGGTGCCCAGCTGTGAGTCTTCCTCCTGGAGGGACACCCGAGGTGGGCCCCCTGGCTGGAAGGGCCCCTCCTTCCCAGCCCATTTGCTGGTTAGATGCCTGAACCCTATATTTCCCCAGAAGATCAGCTGAAGTGAGGCAAATTCCTTTGCCTGGGAGTGGTCGGGAGTGTCAGTCCTGGGCTGTGTCATGAACTTGGCACTCACGTGCACACATGATCCTATCCCAGCCTGCTTACTAGGGAACCTAATTTTAGCACAGGAACTAAATAGCCTTAGCAAGTTGTGTGGAAGCACACTGGCCTGAGGGTTCTGAGCTCTGAATCTAATATGGACAGGCTTTGCCACAAAAGTTGCCCAACAGTGTTGAACTAATGAGTGTCACTATGGGTGACCTTATCTCATTATCTTCAAAATGGGTTTGGGGGAGAGGAGTGGGCACATTGCTGTTTCAGGCCACTTTTGATGCTGACTGTCCAGGGTGAGGCTGCAGTTACCTGCCCTTGCCCACAGGTTTGCTGTGGGAGCCAGAAATGGGGGAACTGATATGTTGGAAAGAGCAGTTGGTTCTTCCTGGTGAGGTCAGAGCCAGCAGCTGGGTGACCTCTGCCCTGGTCAGCAGTCCCACCTCCCCTTCTAGAGCTGCTGCTGCCTGTTTTTCAGCTGACCCCTGGTATGGGCATGTGCCACGTTCCTCAGAAGGAAGCCTAGCTGGTCCCTGGTCTGTGGCTCAGGAGTCTCATTACTGCCAGCTGCAGGCTGCACCCCACAGATGCCTGGTGGATCCTCCTGCAGAGCAGTAAAGCAAAGTGGTGAGGACAGAGGCCTGTGGTCACGCTACCCAGGTCCCTTCCTGCCTGTGCTCTAAATTGGTGAATGAGCTGCAAATCACTGACCCTAGTCTCCTCATTTTTAAGTAAGATGGGTTAAAGTTCAAAGTGGGTTTCTCATTGAACACAGCATCCAAACTCAGTAAGCCTTTATCAGAATTATTAATGTGCACAACAAACACAGCTTTTAAAACCACCACTAATGTTTGGTGAATCAGACAGATACAGGAAGGAGCTGGAATTTAAGAGTCCTATGTCATGGTCACCTTTCTGCTACTGGTTCCCTCCAAAATCAGTCCACAGCTCATTTGAACTGAAGGGTTGTTTCCCATACCAGCCCCCAGCGCCAATCCCAGCATTGTGGGTTATGACTCTACCTCAGTATGGGCTTCTCTTCCTACATCCCTCCATCCTTTAAGGCCCTCCCCACAACCACATGCCATCTTCTTCATGAAATTTCCTTGTTTTTTCCTTGGACAAGTGCCAATCTGTCCCTCAGTCACCAACACACCTCTGTATACCAATGATTCCCAAGCTTATATTTCCAGTGGAGACCTTGTCCACAACCTACTCGACATCTTCAGGTGGACTTTCCAAACCTGATAAAAACCCCTGCCCCCTCACTCAGCCAAGCCTGTCACACTGCAAAGCCCCTGCCCTCCTGCTAGGAGGTAGATAAAAATCCATTATAAGAGACAGGAAAAACAAGCTGTTTTCTATACTCATGCACAGAGCAATATAAAGCAAGGGCCAGAATATTTTCCTTCTGATCACCAAAATGTGTATGGGTTTTTCTAGCAATTCTCTAGACCCCAGCCAAGTGTCCTATAATTTAATTTAGTTTGGACACTGTCTATCTGGGGATGGTGTCAGATTTCATAGTTTAAGGGCTCAGTCTCCCATCATCTTTCAGATGTCTTCAGATGTCTGTCCCATGTGTCAGGTGGTGACCTGGACTTCTGACAGCAAAATATAAATCAGAGGTTCCCAGCAGTCCCTCACTGAGTTGGATAATTTTCTAGAGTGGCTCGCAGAACTCAGGGAAACATTTTGCTTGTATTTACCCATTTGTTATAAAGGATGTCACAAAGGATACAGACGAACGGCCTGAGGAAGAGATGGCCAGGGCAGGGGATGTGGGAAGGGGATCTGTGTCTCCAGGCCCTCTCGGGGCGCCCATGTGTTCAGCAACCAGGAAATTCTCTGAACCCAGTCTTTTTGAGTTTATAGTGGCCTCATTACCCAGGCATAATCAATGAAATCATTGACCATTGGTAACCAGCTCTACCTTCAGTCCCTCTCCCCTCCCCAGAGGTCAGAGGGTAGGGTTGAAAGTTCCAACCCTCTCCTCACATGGTTGGTTCCTTGGGCAACTGGTCCCCAACCTGAGGCTCCCCAGGAGCCCACCAAGAATGGCCTCTAGAATGAGAGGCTCTCATCACCCAGGGAATTCCGAGGGTTTAGAAGCTCTGTGTCCAGTGCTGTCATCACTCAGGAAATTAGAGTTTTAAGTTCCGTGTCAGGAATCAGGGGCGGAGACCAAATATATATCCCTTGTTATATCACAGATCACAACGCCCATCACTTCCATTGCCTCCCTCCCAATGCTCAGGCCTCCTCTCAGCCCCCAGCTCATGCATCAGACAATCCTTCCTCTACCTCCAAAATAAACCAGGCTCTCATGGCTTCTCACCACCTCCACCGCTGCTGTTCTGGCCCAAGCCACACTCTTCCCTCGCTGCCTCCTACCCGTCTCCCTTCTTCTCTCCTGTCCTCCTCCCACAGTCTATTCTCAACACAGCAGCCAGAGGATCTTCCAAGCCACAAGTCCTATCATATTCCTCTGCTGCTCAAAACTCCCCAGTGGCTGCCATTTCACTTAGAGTGAGAGCCAGTGTCCTTGAGATGGTCTAGTGAGCTCCACATATGGAGCCCTGTTGCCTCTGGCTTCCTCTCTCCTCCTCTATGTGTGCTGGATCATTGCCAGTTATCCTTCGAAATCCACCTTCCACCCTCCTCTGCCCTGCCGGTGCTCCCAGGAGGCTGGCCTCTCTACAGGCCTCCTCAACACAGGCCTTCTTCTGCCCTTTGATCCAGAGGTATTCAGTCAATGGGAAGATGGGAGCGAGAACATCCCTGGTCCCTTTGTCCATGGTGTTGGCTAGGCCCTGTCGAGTTTCTTCCCTCAGTCACTCAGCTCTAGTGCCTTACTCTTTGGCTGTGGCCAGCTCTTGCTGGGTTCCTGGGTCTTTCGGCCTGGGAATAGCCCATAATGGCTTCTTGTAACTCTGGCCTTCATGCTCCTCAAACTTGCTGGTTTACTTAACCCTGCCCAAGTGCATTTGTAAACAGCTCCTTCTTTGCTCTCTTTAATTATTCCTTTAGGTGCCCTCTCTTTCCTGCCCATTTCCCTGCCAATCAAGTCATATTCTGCTCTGCTCTTGCTCTGGGCACACTCCTGCCACAGGGTCCGTTATGGTTTGGATGTGAGGTGTCCCCCAAAAGCTCATGTGTGAGAAGATGCAAGAAGGTTCAAAGGAGAAATGATTGGGTTGTAAGAGCCTTAACCCAATTGGTGATTTAATCCCCTAATAGGGATTAATTGAGTGGTAACTGAAGTGGGAGGGTGTGGCTGGAGGAGGTGGGAACTGGGGCGTGGCTTTGGGTGGATATTTGTACCTGGAGAGTGGAGTCTCTCTCTGCTTCCTGATCACCATGATGTGAGCTGCTTCCCTCATCACCCTTTCCTGCCATGAGGTTCAGCCTCACCTTGACCCCTGAGAAATGGAGCCGCCCTTCTATGGACTAAGACCTCTGAAAACATGAGCCCACAAATAAACTTTTTCCTTTATAATTGTGCTGGTCGGGTCCTTTGGTCACAGCAGTGAGAAAGTTGACTAAGACAGGGTCTTTGTGTTGGCTCTTCCCTTCTCCTTTGCCCTCTTCTCCTGGATGCCCAATGGGCGACCTCCCTCATGTCCTTGCAGTCTTTGTTCAGTTGTCACTTTCTCAGTGATGAATTCTCCCTCTTCCCTTTTGAATTTCGCAGTCCTATTATTCTGGCAGTTCCGTCTTTTCTTCCATGATGCTTTCCACCATCTGACACACTGCAGGACTTACTGCTTAGTATCTTTCTCCACATTCCCCTCCGTAGAAACTCTCCTCCAAGGGGGAGAGATGTCGGTCTGTCTTGTTCACTGCTGCACCTTCACAACTCAGATGAATGCCTAATGTAGCAGATGCTCAATAAACATTTGTTCACTGAATAATGTGATTGAATAAACAGCATGTTCCTACCTCTCACGGGGTGTGTGTTGGTTTCCTAGGGTTGCCCTAACAAAGTATGGCGAACTGTGTGGTTGAAAATAGCAGAAATGCACTTTATCAGTTCTGGAGGCCAGAAGTCCAAAGTCCAGGAGTGAAAGGGCCACGATCCCTCTGAAACCTGGAGTGGGGATCTCTCCCTGCCCCTCCTTAGCTTCTGGTGGTTTCTGGCCACCCTTGGTGTTCTTTGGCTGGCAGCTGCCATCACTCCAGCCTCTATTGTCACAGAGTGTGCTCCTTACACAGCTCTATCTCCACACATGATGGTTTCTCTTTTCCTTTTCTTTCTTTTTTTTTTTAAAGAATACTAGACCTATTGGATGGGAGGCCTACCCTACTCCAGTATCCTCATCTAAATTTAAATAATGACATCTACAACAACCTCATTTCCAAGTCAAGTCACACTCTGAGGTCCTGGGGGTCAGGACTTACATATGTGGGGGAGGACCTAGTTCAACCTATAAGAGGATCTTTTCAGTCCTTCTCTATAATTGCAGTACTCAGGTTATTATTACCCCAATTAATTATAAATCTTCTAATGGAAAATATCACTCTTATATCTGAAAGGCTAAAACCGGCTCTCAGGCTGGATGTGACCTGCCTTGCAGTACTGGCTGTGCAGAGCTCTGAAATTTTTTTTGATAGTTTGTGAACATTTAAAGGCTGGGAAACTCCACCTACAGATCTGGATTTCTGGCCTCTGCAACAAATCAGAGTGTCTGGTCACGTGAGCCTACATTACACCATTTCCTCATCCTGGAGCCTAGCAGGGGCTTCCCCTCAGACCAGGCTGTGTCCTTCTCACCCCAGCTACACCTCTCCCTGTGCTGCCCCGACCCGGGGGCTGGGGTCAGCTGCCACTTGTTACCCAGCCAGCTTCACTGACTTCCATTAGCTGCCAGCTCTCACAGATGTCTGAGCTGCTGCCTCCAAGCACCCAGAAAACATGGAAAAAACAAGGTGACAGTGGGGAAGTGGAGTGTGGGTGGGGCTTCCCCCTTTCCTTTTAACATAGGCTCTTGAACTTTCCTCCGTCAAGCTTTGATCTGTGCTGTTGCCCCGAAGGGCCCAGAGGCAAGCTCTCCGTCTGCCCCTTGCTCACGGCATCCTCGGCAGCTGGTCACCTGGGGCTCTGGAGACACTTTCTTCACTTCACCTCCATCCCACCACGATCTTGGTTCATACTCCCTCACTGGCCACTCCTGTTTCTTTAGCTGGTTTCTCCTCCTCCCTTCGTCCTTGCATGGCCTGGTCCTCCGTATTCTCACCTCCTGGCCCTCCCTCATTTAGTATTTGTGACTTCAAATACCACTGTACACACTGACAGCTCCCAAAGACTTGCCTTTGGACTTAAAATCAGCACACTACAGCGATGCAGCCACATCAATGTTTATAGCAGCTCAACTCACAATAGCCAAACTATGGAACCACCCTAGATGCCCTTCAACAGATGAATGGATAGAGAAAATATGGTATCACAATGGAGTATTACTCAGCCTTAAAGAAGAATGAAATTATGGCAATTGCCGTTAAATGAATGGAGCTGGAGAATATCAGGCTAAGCCAAATATGCCAATCCTGAACAACCACAGGCTGATTCTCTGATATGTGGATGCTAATTCACAATGGAAGGTGGTGGCTAGGGAAGAAAAAAGTTACTTTGGATTAGACAGAGGTGAGTGAAGGGAAGGGAGGGGATTTGGAGGTGGAAAGGACAGTGGAATGAATTTGACATTATTACCCTATGTGCATTTACAATCACACGACCAGTATAATTCTACTTTTTGTATAAACAGAAGAATGAGAAGTTATATTCCATTTATGTAAGATATGTCAAAATGCATTCTACTGTCATGTACGACTAATTAGAAAAAACAAACAAGCAAGAGACCTGCCTTTGGCTGGTAAGATCTCCTGAACCCCCATCTTCTACATGTATCTCTGCTTGGCTGTATTTAAAGGACTATCATATGTCACAGTGGAAAAGCAAACTCTTGGTTCCAACCTACAAAGCTTCTCTCCCAGGGTTCAACCTGGCAATAAATATCAGATTCATTATTCCAGTTGTTCAGGTGAAGAAATTGAGAAATACCCTTCATTGTGTTTCTCTCCTATAGTCAATACCTCATTATGTCCTTGGTAATGGTCAGTGTTCTGTGTCCACTTGCCTGGGTCAGGGTGCCCAGTCATTGGATGAAACACCAATCTAGATGTCTTTTGATGGAGTTGCTTCTTAATAAACTCATTGTAAGGTGATGATGGCCTAAGCTGGGCTGGAGGTGTGGCTCTGTGGTAGTGCTTGCCCTAGCATGTTTGAGCCCTGGGTCTGCTCTTCAGCACTAGAAACAAAACAAAACAACAAGAACTACAAGAACAAAACACTTAGGAAGGACAGAAAGAAAAAAGAAAATATTGTAAGTAAAAAATACATTTTGAATCTACTGAACATCCACAGAGCACCATAGAGTCTTGGTGTTGACTTGTTGCCCCAGAGCTGACTGGGAGCTGTGGCTCACTGCTGCCATCCAACATCAGAGGTATCACAGTGTGGCCCGCTGCTGCTTTCTCTGACCTCATCTCTTTATCCTTCCTCACTTGCTCTTCCTTAGTCATGCCCAATAAGTTTCTGCCTCAGGGCCTTTGCTCCCGTGGCTCTCTCTCTGCCTATAAATCTCTTCATTCTAATAAGGTTATCTGAGGTACTCAGGAGCAGAACAGCACTAATTTCTTGCATCTCAAGGGAAGCAGTGGCTTTGAATGGACTATTCATTTCAGACTTGTCAAAATTCATATCTCAACCAATTGCTTTATGGTGTCGTCTATGACAGTTGTCCAGAGATCCTTCCACTAATTGGTCTCGATCATTTTTAGTTTCTGATTGTTGGTGCTCCAATATAATAGTGGTGTGCAGATAAATTAAGGGTAAAATCATAAGTCTGAGTATATGTTTAGATATGCAAGTTAGATCGTGGCTTCTTCTTTTCACTAACTGATTCTCATGTAGCTCCCAAAGTTTTAAGTGACTGCCTTTGCAAACTAACACTTGGCCTTTTATCTTGGGCCCAAGAAAACATGCTAATTCATCCTGTGCTTTGGTGAGGGAAGGGCATGGACACATTGTAGGAAATGGATACTTTAGATAGATGTGCACAGAGAAAATGTCCACCACAGTGGGAGTGTGATCAAGTGGCCATGTACCCCCGAGTCCCCCCGCCCCACTCCAGCCCTCCTCTCCTGGTCTTGCTGTTAGTAGTCAGCTGGCTTCAGAGGTCTCAGTATAAGATCACCGAGTCCTTCCTCACTGCGTATCCTTAGCTGAGGGAGGAGCCCACATATCAGAAAGTTGCTGTTCCTGGGCGATGGAATTAACCAGTGCTGGCTCAGGTCCTGACTGACATTTACAATAGGGGAGGGAGGTTGGACAGGTTATATGCCCCTCTTTACCCATTGCCAACTTACCAAGAGGAAATGATATTGCTTAAATTATGGCGCTGCTATGGTGTTTAAATAAAGTAATGCATACTGAGTGCCTGACTCACGGGAAGCATTCCATACCTGTGACTTATATAGCGGAACTTCAGAGGCACACTGGAGACCAGGGTCTAGGCTGAGCAGGTGTGTGCTGTGAAGTTACTCCAGTGAGATAGATAGCAAGCCTGTCCTTCACATGGTCACCCCAGTACTCCTCCCAGAATATAAGCCTGACCAGGCCACTGTCCTCTTTAACACGCCTTGAGCTGACACAAGTCTCAAAAAGCCTCCAAGTCAAGCTGTCAGGACCCTGCCTCCTCCCCACGCACGCCTCCTCATCTTTGGACGGCTCACCATGGACTTTTGCTTTAGGCATGAAAGGCCCATTGAGTGAACAGTGATCCTTGGGCTTGGCTGTTGTTAGGTCATCGTGCCTCCGTGTAACTGTAGGCACTCAGTTGTGTCTTTTCCTTCGAAAGATCTCATGGGAGACTTTCCGAAATTCAGCCACACTGCATCAGTTGCATTCCCCAGCTTCCCTGCCAAATCTGGAAAGAGATTAGTTTGGTGGGGTGAGTGTTCATACATACCCATAGTCTTAAATGAGTGTGGTCCTCCATCTCCTCACCTGTAACGTGCTGCATCAGGTGATTTGGGAGACAGCTGGGGGTTTGCACATTCACGGGTGCTTACCAAGGAGGAGCTGGCACACTGACACTGTGAGGTACTGCGCCCACAGCTCCAGCATTATCAGATAGCCAAGGGAGGCTTTGCAGAGAGGGGCTGGGTGGGGATCAGTTTCCAAGGGGTGGCAGAGGAGTCTGCTAGGGCCAAGTCAGTCAGGGAGGGAGCAGGACCAGTGGCCTTGATTCCTGGAATACTCTCTGCCCTCCTCCTCCGCCCTGACTGCCCCCACAAGACCCAAACTGTGCATCTCAATCCCAGAATGTGAGGAATGTGCCACAGCCTGATAGGCATGGAGCAATCTGTGGACAGGCAGGAGGAGGGCTGCTCTCTGGGCAGAGCCGGACAGTGCAAGGACTATCAGGCCTGCTGGCTGGGTGGCCCCTCCCACCCTCCTTGGCCTCCTGCTACAGACGGGATATCAAAAGCTTCATTGTGCATTGAGCAGCCTAGGTCCCTAGTGTGCCAGGGAGGAGGCGGTAGGAGGGACACCGTTGGGAGGCTCCCAAAGCTCTCTGGCTGGTGTTCCCTGGGGCCCTGGCCCGGGAGGATGGTGCACACATGGGTGGCTGTTTCTGCATCCCCAGGGAGCGGAGTCTGCCCTGGAGCTCAGGTGAGTTTCCTGGGGGACTCTGACGGGTGACTTGGCCAAACTGGTTGGTACAGTGAAAACCCAGGGAGCTGCTGGGTTGGGGAAGTTGCTCTTCTAAAGGTGGGGAGATGGCTGTGGTCTCTGGTGCCTCTCTTACCTCCCTCGGTCGTATTTGTCTTTCTGCCTTTGTAAAAACGGAGTGAAGCCTGAGAAGCATCTACTTTCCTAAAGAACGAGGCTTTGAGCTCACTCTGCCGAGGGGGAGTGGGGGCTGCTCTTGGCTGCCACTCCTAGGGTGTGACTAAGCCCTTCCTTCCTTTCCTCCCAAGATTCCCTAGGACAGGAAGAAGGTTCCGGCAGTGAGTTCCTCTGCACTCTATGGGTGGTCATAAATTTGGCCTCTGTCATTCAACCTTGTTTTCCTCAAGATTGTGCTGCTGAAAAACAGGCATTTTCCTGCCTCCTACCTGTTACAGTGGTATTAGGCACATCCAGCTGAGATCAAAGAGTTGTTGCTCTAAGAAGCTGTTTGGTCATCTGAGACTTGAGACAAGGTGACCAGCCATCCTGGTTTAGCCTGGTACTGAGTGCTTTCCTTGGATGCAGTCAGTGCTAAAACCTGGAAGGTCCAGGAGAACCAAACAACACATTTGGCACAAAAGGCTATGACATATTTTGCTTCTCTAGATTTCTAGGATTTACCAACTTCCTTGAAATCCTATTGTGCTTGCACCTGTGGGGGCAGGCAGAGCACGTCCTTCTCATGGTCACCCCAGCACTCCTCCCAGAATATAAACTTGACCAGTCCAAGAAGGACTGCTGGTCTAGAAGCCAGGGCTCGTTTTCTAGATCTGACTTATTCTACCACCAGTTAGGTGGGTGTCATTGCGGTCGATCACCTCGTCTTTGAGGGCAAAGTCACTGGGTTTAATCTTTGTTTTTTTACTTGCCTTAAGAAATTAACTTCTCTGTACTATAGTTTGCACATCTGTAGATTTTGTGACATGATTATGCTTTCCTAGTGGTGTAAAGTTTACATGTGAAATATTGGGAACAGCCCAGCCCATGGTTAATTAAATATAATAAATATTAGACCTTGTTAATTACATTTCTTTTTTTAAAAATTTTTATTTTTCTTCCTCTTTGTTTTTTCTTTATTTGGTACCAGAGATTGAACTCAGGGACACTCGGCCACTGAGCCACCTCCCCAGCCCTATTTTGTATTTTATTTAGAGGGTCTCACTGAACTGCTTAGCGCTTTGCTGTTGCTGAGGCTGGCTTTGAACTCATGATCCTCCTGCCTCAGCCTCCAGAGCTGCTGGGATTACAGGTGTGCACCACAGTGCCCGGCTGTTGTTAGTTACATTCCTATGACCCTGGCATATTGCATTCTCTCTCAGGGCTTCATTTGGTCATCTGTAAAATTGGGGGGTTGTGAACTGCCTGAGGAGCTCTGCTTCTGCTGCCTGAGCCCAGCTTCAGGCACAGCCACTCTGCTTCTGCAGGACAAAGGTCTCAGGTAGAGCAGAGTTCTGCAGTGCAAAACAAAGAAGCCAACATGAGAGAGGGTGGCCTTGAAAGTCCATGACACTCTCCACTTGTTTTGTTCCGTCACCTGTTTTTTGCCTTTGACAACTGGTTGGCCCCTGGATTCTCTTATTTCACCAAGTCGGCTTACTAGTTATTTCTCTCGAAGTCTTTCATGCCATGCGGTTCTATACTCTTCTCCACATGTGTCAGGTTCTTCTCTAGGGGGCGGAGATAATGGGTGTTGTAGGTCTGAGGCCAGCTGATATAAAATCCCCATTCTAGCTTCCCTTCTATATGCTAGAGAAAAGAAGGCAAAGTCTGAGACACATCTTGGAGTGAATTTGTAGTGGTATGACTTTGGGCAAGTCTCTTACCTCCTTTGAACCTACCTCATGTTTTCCTGGCTGTATACTGGATCTAGTGATAGTATCTATCTCATGGAACTGCTGGAGGGATTCAATTAGGCAATTCATCTTGCAGACGTGACATGGGGTCAGTTTTGGGCAATCCCAGTAACGGCAGGCTGTCTTACTGTTAGCCAACATGGACCACTCCCACATCCCTTCTTCCTAATTCCTGAATCCACTGGAGCAGGAGTCCATACTCATCGTTCCTTGGCTGCTTTTGCCATTGTGTTCATTTAAGTGGGAGTGAGCAGTGAGGTCCAAACTGTGTCCTCGGGGGTGAGGGAGGTGGGAGAGGAGCACTGGACATCTGGCTGGCTGGGCTGTGGTGTGGTGCTGTTGGATGTTGGCTATGACGGTCCTGGGCATGCTGCATTCTCTTGTGTGAGCTCTTTCCGAGGCATCTGTTCCTGTGGTGTTTATTTGTTTGCTCACAGAAATCTCCCAGTTGCACATGGTGAGAGGGTGGGTCATGGGTCAATCGCCAGCCATCACCTCCACTTCCTCCACCCTTTGAGTTTCTTACTGTTGCTTAGTAAACTAAAATTGCTCACGTCAGATCACAGGCATGTCAGAGTTCGTTGGTCTGGAAGCATCTAGCCTTTGTCCCTTATCTTCAATACCCCTTCTCCCTTATCTTCAACACCCTTTTGAAGAAATTTGGCTGAAATTCTTAAATAGAAGATGTGGGAGAGATATATGTGCCTGCATTGATCACTAGTATTTGTAACTTTCCTTTCAACCTTTCTGGTAAACATGAATCATCAGTATAACAATAATGAAATCACAAATGCTGACACTAGTAAATGGCACGTCGCCTTCGAATTCTACAAGAATTGTGAAGCATTTTGAACACTGTAATAGTTCAGAATATTAAAATAATAAGCCCCCCAACAGATTTCTACTTTTTGCCATGGTGGCCTCAGAATTTCTTTATTTCTTTCGCTTAGTTTCTGAAGAAATAAAACATTACAGATACCATTAGGGTCCCCTGCAGAACTCTTTCCAATCTCATTCTTCTCTCTCACCAAAGTTAATCACTTTCATGAGTCCTGTGGTTTTTGTGCTCTTACTACATATTCATGCCCCCGAGAGCGTTGCAAAGAATTACTTTGCAGACTTTTAAACTAAAACAAAATGATATCATTATGCAACTTGCTTTCTTCCCCCACCAACATAATCATCTGAGATGTATCCATATGGCTAGATGTAGCTGTAGTTCTAATTTGATATTTGTTCTAGCAAGGAGAATGTAGGTTTACATCATAAAAACTGCTGATGGTAGGCCTGTTGGGTCAAAGAAGAAGAAAACATGTGGGTGGAGGAACAAAGCATGACGGGAAATGTCGGCTGTTTCGTTTTCTTTTTAAGTTGGGCGTGATGGTGGTGGGTAGGAGCAGAGAAGAGACAGAGGAGAAAGTGGAGTGAATTCTCATTTTCAACATGTTCCTGTCCTTGAGGTGTCTGCCTGATCCGAGATCTTAGGCCTCAGAGTTCTGAGGTTGTATAATGTGTGAAAATAGCAGCGTCTGTACCAAGTGATTTGGATGACCTCTGACTCTTTTGATAACTTGCTGAATGACCTTGGTCAGAGCACCACTCCTCTCTGGGGCCTCAGTTTCTGGACAGTCAAATTAAGAGTGAAACTACAGGATTTATTTCATTTTCTTCCCACTTTCATTTTCTGTGTGTATTGCCTTCTCTTTACCTTTACCTCTCACATTCCAGAGGTCATGATGCCTTCTCTCTCTTTCTCCCTCTTAACTTTAAAACAGTGCCAGGTGTTGTGTTATATGCCCATAATCCCAGTGGCTGGAGGCTAAGGCAGGAGGATTTTAAGTTCCAGGCTAGCCTCAGCAACTTAGACCCTGTCTCAAAATAACACACAAAAAGGGCTGGGAAACTGTGGATAAGTGGTAAAGCCCCCTTGGGTTCAATCCCAGGTAACGACAACAACAACAAAAATGAAAGAAAAACAACAAAAACAAACAAACAAAACAAACAACAAAAACAGTATCATTTACTCTATCCCCTCACTTCTCATTGCCAAGGTGACAGCTCACATGCTCACACACCCCTGGGTTTCCCTAGCAGCATTTTAGTGGGCCTCTCTGCTCCTGATGCTTGCCTCTCCCTGCTCTTCCTAACCCACCCCAAGTGGAGCGCTCACTTTTATTATGCCACTCTCATGCTCAAGGATGTTTCGTAGCCCCCAGTTGCATACTGTATCTGTTCTAAACAAGTCTCCTGCCATAAAGTGACCCCATCCTGACCTGCCGTACTTACCCAAGACCCTTGGTTACCAGTTACCTCCCCCATGTACAGGCTCAGCCGCTACCATCTCATGTGCCTATGAAGCCCGCTCAGGCCTGCCCTGCTGATCTCTTTACTGGTGATCTTTCTTTCTATCCTCATATATAGATCTTCCAAGAAAATAAAAGCCAAGCAATAAATTTGGGAATAATATTTACAAAACATGTATCTGATACTTATGTCCAGAACATATGTTTAAAAAAACCTCTTAAATCTCAAAAGTGAGAAGACAACCTAGAAAAATGCAAAATGTTTCTACATACACTTTTATGTGGAAAATATAGTGATGACAATTAAGCCCACTTAAAAATACTTACTATAATTAGTTATTAGGGAAATGCAAATTGAAAAAAAAACCAAAATAAAATTACAGAATTATTGGAATGGTTAAAATTAGAAAGACTGACAATATCAAGTTTTGACGAGGTATGGAGCAACTGGAAATCTTGTACATTGCTGATAGGAATACAAAATAGTATAGTCACTTAGAAAACCAGGTTGGGCAGTTATAAAACAGGTCCCACTGTTTTTTTTTTGGATCAAATTTTTTAAAAATATAATTTGTTATATATGACAGCAGAATGCATTTCAATTCATATTATACGTATATAGCACAATTTTTTCGTATCTCTGGTTCTTCACAATGTAGAGTCACACCATTCGTATCTTCATACATGTACTTAGAGTAATGATGTCCATCTCATTCCACTGCCTTTCCCACTGGTTTTGTTTATAAAAAAAATAACAAAAAAAAAGTTGTATTAACAACTTTTTCTGATCAATGTTAATAGAAATGAAACCAACTTACATGAAAAATAATTTGTTGATTCATAAATGAAAAAGTACAGTGATATTACTTTCCTTCAAGTATGGTTTGATCAAGATATTCAAGTGATGTTAATCAGGAAACTCTTTCCTAAGCTCTGTTTGAGTCTGGATAGCCTCAACCTCAGCAGGCTTTCTCCCCATAGCAGGGGTCCCACCATTTTAGGTGGTCGTAGTCATAGTTTTCAGGTGCCATGAAAAGAAATTTCATGTCTAAGAGTGTTGCAGGTTCTAGGACTAATTCTCATGGCTTAACTTTGGTTACAAGGACACGGCACAGTATAACCTGATTAGCTTAGGCTTGAATCACGTGCATACTTTTGGAGGTAGGGATGTAGTCAGAGCCACAGGAGCTTTATGAAGGGTTCGCATGGATCACCTGGCTAATGATGAAGCCAGGTGATCCGTGGTTTGAGTCCAGGGCTGTCCGATTGCCCCTTGTTCCTGGACATTTCTCTTCCTGCCTTCAGTGTTAGAAAACAAATGCATGTCCACTACAGAGTATTTGGTAAGCAGACAAAAGTTGAGTGAAGATAATAAAAAAATAAATAAATAATAAAATGATTCAGTAATAACCTCCATAAGCCTTTTGGTTTATTTTCTTTCAATTGTTAAAAACTTACATATTTTTTCTAAGGTACTTCATTCTGTGTGGTAGTTTTTTCGTTGTCTTGAATTGTCTCTGGTTCTTTTTCAAAGCCAAGCGCAAGTCCTAAAATTCCTTCACATTGAAATACAACTCCACGTGTAAAGAGCTCTGTAAACTGTAAATCCCTGTGCAACAATTACTCATTCTGCTTTAGAACTCACTCTAGTTGTTCGGTGACCTTATTGTTTGTCAAGGAGTTGTCCTTTTGCTTCACTGATCCCAAGACCCATGGGTCCCAGTTGCCTTGAAGATTCTCACACTTTAGGGAATTTCTGAAATAGCCAAGGTGCTAATAAAATTCCACATGTCCGGACTCCTCTCCTAGATATTTCCAGGTAGAATAGGTGGAGGAGAGTTCCAAGGATATCTTTAAATTCAGCTTTTTACTACCCTTTGTCATGTATATAGAATTGTGTATGAAATCATGTGTATAGCACATGAATTTTAATGAGGTATATAAACTCATCTATATTGTTTTGTATGGTTGCAATTAATTCAATCTCATTTAAGTATTAGATTTAATTATATGTAGCATCATTTATTTATTCATTCTAGTGTACATGGATATTTGAGTTGTTGCCAGGGTTTGGCCCTTGTGAATAGTGCTGTTCTGAATATTTTAGTAGATGCTTTTGGTGAACATATGTATGTATTCTTTTGGGTATACAGGTAGGAGTAAAATTGCTGAGTCTTACTATATTCAAATTTTCAACTCCAATTCAGTTTGCTAAAGAGAAAAATTTCAGAGTTTATCCTCATAGTTGTAGTATACAGGAGTCCTGATGGCTCTGTATTCTTACCAATGCTTGCCTTTATCCAGCCTTTTTATTCTAGCTGGTCTGCATAGTGGTTTTCCATTGTAATTTTGATTTATACTTTCCTAATGGAATTGAGCACATTTTCATACATTTATCCACTGCTTGGCTATCATCTTTGATGAAATGCCCATTTATGTCTCTTGTCCATTTTTTCTAGCAGGTTGCCTACCATTTCTTAAAGATTTTTAGCATTCTTTTTGTACTCTAGATTTGAATTCTTTAATGACAAAACATATTGTTAATATTTTCTTTTACTCTGCTACTTGCTTATCACTCTCTTAATAGCATGTTTTGATTAATAGAATTTCTTAAGTTTAGTGTATTACAGTTTATCTATTATTTCTTTTGAGGGTAACACATTTACCATACTGCTTAGGAGGACTGCCATCTTCAAGTCCTACAGATAGCCAAATATATTTTCTCTGTGTTTATTTTTACAGGCATCTTTTGAAAAACAAGTACATAAATCATTCTGATGCATATAATCCAGTTTTGCAAAACTTCAATTTTATGCTCCAAACCTCACACATCTTTTAGAAGTTGTGCTCCCTCTGCCTACACCAGTGTTACCACCATGGATTTCCCCTTTTGAAGTTGAACTCACTTTGCAGGCCCTTGGCATCAGGCCATTGTCTCCTCCCCTGGAATTCTACAAGAAGGCAATATCATGCCTGCTGGGGAGTCAATGAGTAATTGGATAGTGAGGTCCTGGTGGCTGGAGAACAAATGTCCTGTGGAGGAACATCAATAATTTGGTGCTTGCTGATTGCCACAGGAGGAAGAAGGCCCTAGGCTACAGATCTATGTTTCCATGCAAACCCAAGCATCTGGATTGTGTACAATATTCTGATTTATAAATGTTAAGCAATCCAAACTAAAAAAATTAATGTGGGG